CGTCGCGTAATTACTCCAATCAGCAGAATGAGGGTTCTGATAACAGTCATAATTGGACTGGTGCGGCTTCGGGCGGACTGATATCAAGTGAAGGGTGCGAGTGTACGTTTCGGTCAAATCTTGACAGGTAGCTATATCAGCTAATTCTAGATATCTCGCGGGAAAGCAAGCTGTAACCACATATATCTGTTCGTGAATTGCGGCGATACCAGATAGCGACGGACACTCTAGGGATTGTAAGCAATCGATAACACGGCCAGTCAGCAAAGCGAGGTGACGTTGGTGAAAGACAGCTAGTGTGGTGGCACCTGCCGGTTGAATGTAAAGGTCGCAAAGTCTATCTGGTATTGAATATGGGAGGCCGAGGATCAGGCTTGTCCATCTGTCAGCATGAAAGAGGTGCCAGAATGTTGCATCCAATCGCTCTGATATGTGATGTCTGTGGATACCTTGCAGCTAAAGAAGAGTATTGGCCCTCCGGTGTACCATCCACGCTCAACAAGTCTGTGACATGCTGAGGAATGAAAGCCCAAGGCCTATCAGACACTGGAGGCCGTATTCACAAGCAGTTTACTCGTCATCGTATAACACCCAACGCTCAACAGGCGTGATAAATTTTTAACATATCGTACAGTGGCTCAGGCATAGCAATAAACTACCAAGCAAGGAGGGATGCCCAGGACAGAGGGCACACGTTTAGCAAAATCGGCCAGGGAATCGTCTTCGTCGCCCAGTAATATTCCACAACACGCCAGGACTGCCACCAGTCACTACGGCTATGGATTATATCTCGCATCTTGTCCTGCAACGGGAGTGCGGTACAAATGTACCGCAGTGCTCGCACATGCCTGGCGGGTACTGTCCTTCTCAAGTAATTCAAAGGATATATAGGAACTGTGGTTGCGGTTTCCGTTTCGACGTGGTGGCTGCTCTATGACGGAATTAGTATTGTGCTAAAGACGAGATTAGTGCTGCGTTGTGAGCAAGATATACCAGGCCGTATTTGATCAGCCGCATGATAGGCGCAGAGTCTGTTTGAATTGGCTGTGGGCTACTGACTTCACCTGCCATGATCTGAAGTCCCAAATCTTTGATCTTCAGAGAATCTAGCTTGGTCTACGGTTGGTCTTGATGCACATTCCTGTTATAGTGATACGACTTGCCCATGCAAGCGTTGGAGAGCCTCAGACCATGTATCGTGAAGCTTAGGATGTGATTGTTTTTGATGGGTAATTTGAAGATCACGGATACAGGGTTTGCGCAATGCAGAGTATTCCACGTCGTGAACAATTGTAATAAACCCCGGGTTGGCTCGGGGGAAGGTGCAACGAATTTTCATTCTCCGGTCTACCCTAATCAGTACAAGCCAAATGTCAGATCCTGCACATGTAATCATACAGCTGATGCAGCTACGCGTGCCCTTCCTCATTGTTCGTCCTGCATACATAGCCTGGATACGAACACAACCACCTCTCTCGATGGTCCTGGCCCACAACGCGCCGCGGTGTTAGGATGAAATAGTTGACATAAACAATAGAGATAAAGTAACATACGGTCAGTTGAGTCTGAGGAAATGCCTCTATCTTGATCTCCGCTTCCGCAGTGGGGATGTTTTGATTACCAGTCGTGGCGAGATGTCTTTGGTCCGAGACCGGGAAGGAGTTGCCCGAGAGTATGTGTAGATCGTCTACTGTGCTTGAGCCGTCTGAGACGATCGCAAGCTTTCGTCTGTGCACTATTCGATGTTTGGTATGGCCGCTTCGGACGAGTCTTGGTCCCAGCATTCTATGGAACGGAAGACGGCAGTAACCATCTTTTCCGACCGAGATTACCTATGCTCTGGAAGCCTAGCAATGTCTCGCTAGCCCCATATCATTCATTATTTGTATGCTCAATACGCGCAGCGTTCCGGCTTGGAAGTATGGCTACCGCTGTAGTGAGCGCTATGGACTAACAATCCTCTACTTATCCTTATCCCCGAATTCTCGCCTACAAACTGACTATATGATCATAAAATTATCCATGTACCTGGCAGGACCAATTGATGATGACATTAATTAGACTACCAGGCAAGAAACTCATTCGTCTTCCGCTGTAGTTTGGCATCTCGGTCCAGTGGAGCATGTCAATAACAGAGTAAGTTACATTAGGGCGATAGAGGGTGTTTCAAGTGCATTTCCATCAGTCCTAGAGTCTTTGTTAGGCAAGTCCGTAGTTGGAGGCACATGGCCGCCCTGTCTGTGCTTTAATTTATCCATCGGTGTGGCCCTTGGTATACCCAGGCACTAAACATCCCATTAGTTATTGGGGAGGTCTGGGATGGCTCTTTCATTTATTTCCCTTCCCTGGGGGTGAAGGGGTGTGGGGTGGGTGAGAGGATGCCCACATTTCATTTCCCCGCCCTATATTTAGCATAATATCGGCGAATGAGTCCCTTCTCTAGTTTGTATCTTTCTGCGTCGAAGCGATTGGTTAACGTCAAGCATACTCCTCCGTCTTGACTCTTCAACTCCTGCCCTGGAAAGTATAAAAACTTGATTCTATGTGTAATGTGAATGCGCTTACAATTACGTCTAGAGGAGAAGCAGACAATTCTCTATTCATGTCACTATATTATGATCGCTGTTCTTATGGTTAATGTATATCGAAGTTTAGTTGCAAGGAGTATCTGTTGATAGAAAGATTCCCAGGACCACTTAGATAGATAATATGTGGAACAAGGGTATAGGGAAAAAACAATGACCTAAGGCTGAAATTTCTGATACCCAATTTTATTAGAAGTAAGGGTCTGGTGGAACAGCAAAATTATTCTTAGTTTCGGTTCATCCCGCTTATCTTCATACCTAGACACTCGCGGTGACTGTCTAGAGACATACGGCGGAAAACATGTATTAGGAGACGATTATGTGGGCTAAACGTACGGAGGTATTAGAGCATGCTAGAATTCAATGTAAAGGCGTGTGGATGTATGGCTTAGTCCCATTACTGTGTTATTCTTCATTCACGGTGGGTTTTGACCGTCATAAGAATACTACAGCTGTTTGGGCAGCCGGGGTTTTTACTAAACCCTTACTAGGTCCGTGCTGGACTTTATTCAATTAGACCTAATGAGGCTGCATGCAGTCCTTTCTAAAAATGTACGCAATATCCCCAGAGAGATTAAGCGTTCAGCGGGTGGTCCGGCACATGGATTGTGGAATCGAATCTGCCTCGTAATATCCCTGGAAGCTGAGAGACATGATTTCCCAATATAGCATAAATCGGTCCTCATTGGAAGGGCTTTTCTTGGATAATGGATTGCCGGTCGTCCCAATGATATTACCGGGTGAATGGCTTGTACTCTTGTGAAATGGGCTGCTTCATCATGAGACATTATGTAGATTAGTCGGGACTCTACGCTGCTCGATGATAACCGGATATAAAGAATCACCGTCAAGATTGAACAGCAACTGAGCTTACGCGTTGGACTTACCCCGAGTAGCTCACACTGGCCCCTACTTCCTGGTTCAATATTTCCCACCAACTCTTGACTGATAGATCCAAAAAGCAACCCACGAATATATCGGCAATGCGGTGGACCAAGCTCCGTCAATCAGCAAGTAGCGAACTAAGTGAAGATACACAGGAGCAAATCAGAAAATTTCTCGCTGTCGATCACGGGAAGGTCGTTGCAGCTCCTAAGCAGCCCCCTTTCTTTCTTCCAGGTGAGCCAGTTGTGGCGCTGGAGGGTCAGAATTCTCATTTTGAAAGTGAGTCAACGTCTACTTCTAGCCCGGGAGCTTACCTCTGAACGTGGGCCAGTATTTCGAATGCTGACACTCACACCTTTTCCAAGACCCAATCGCAGGATCCAGAAAGTCGCCGAACCCTACGCATAACCCCTTGCAGTCCACAGCGAGGCACGATGCCTTCCCCCCAATTTCCTTAGGCGTCAACCCAGATCACGCCCGATACTCGGTACAATCCCCGACTTTCACTTGATTAGATACTGAATTTCCTATAATATATGAATCTATATCCGTGAGTTTTGTCCAATGGGAGCTGTCCCAGAAAACTTTGCATGGGGAACTCGGCACGCGAACAGGGGATATTCAAAGGTAGACAATGTCGTTGAGTCGTGTCTTCTGCTGCGGTTGTATTGTGCGTGGTATGAGAGCTGCCACTCTTGGAGGTAGGCTGAGCTTCTGCCATTCGTCGCCGAATGAGGATAGGGTGTACTGGTTCTCTTGATCAAAGGCGTAGGCTACATGCGCGAACAGATTGTGTATAGGAGCAAGGTGCCAATGCTATCTGCTATGTCGTGGTGACAGCGCAATACCAGGTCAGCATGAACTTGTCAGATTGAAGGAGTTGGAGGCTTGATCATGAAGAGTGTCGGCTGTTTCGGGACTGGGGGGTCAGAATTGCACCACTCCTGCCCGGTCAGCTGGTAGATAGGACACGAAAGCTAGCGTCCATCCATGCCTCTGTGATGCTGCATTCTCCGCTCGCCTTTTCGTCTCCGACACTAAAGCGGGATTCTCAACGAGTATTGAGAACGATAGGTGACCTATCATTGCGAAGGTCCGCCCGCTTCCTTCGTACGCTTTAGCCAAGGAGATATAGAACTGTTCCGCCTCGTCAATAGCACGCTCCTATCGTCCTAGACTGGCCACTTTCAAGAGAAGTCAGGGTTGGTTATCCTAGTGCGCAGCTCTACATATGAGGACGTACCCTTGCTGCAGAAGTTACTGGCGTGTAAATTCCAGCGATTCTGTTCGCGCGCTGCCAACTGCCTTGTTAGGTAGTATCTTGAACGATGGACTTCTAGTATGTAGCTACCTAGCATCCCCATCCACACGAACAAATTCCAGGTAAAAAATAAATACGATAACGATTACCAGTTTGGGATTCTATCGGAAGAGTTATGCGATACTTCAATATTGCTCGCCGAGCACAGTTGGGCCCACACCCATAGCCGGGAATACCAAAAAGCCAAACAGAAAAAAAAAAAGGAAATATGGGACGAGCCGGGTTTGAACCGACGACCTCTCGATCACCTATTGGTGTTTATGATGAAGTTAAACTTCAGTCGAACGCGCTCCCAACTGCGCCATCGTCCCATGATTGATGCTTAGAGCTCTTTTTCTAGGACCATGAGGCGAATGACTATGATATACTCTATCCTTCACAACGTAGCACCAAAGTTGGAATAAATGCCATGTTTATAACGGACCTGCCGCCGATTTCAGAGCTGATGGAATCGGTGCAAGGCTAGATATGATGCAAGTGTCATCGACCCCATAATTAAAGTATATGTGTTTTTATAGATCACCCACGCGGCCCCTAAACCGAGCCCTCCGAATCGCTCCAAAGGATCTGCGGTGCCAAACTTCAGATGCCATAAATGGATCCAAGGGTCATTTCAATCAATATAGCTCGTTTAGAGGAGATGGCTAACCGGAGTAGAATTGGCTACCCACTACGGGGCCCTAACCTGCCCCATCGGGTAGAAGACCAGCTTGAAGTAAGGGAGAAGCCCTAACAAGTACAAGTCATGCACCTGTTAATCAATTCCTGCAAGGTTGCTTCTTCGAATCTACAGCACCAAGTTCGGATAACAGCTTACTGCAGAAATAAAACTACTTCTACGTCTAAGCAATCATCCTGATGCATGTTTGCCCTCCTAGGGACATTCCATTTCTCAGGCACGGTCATAGTTGACTCTACAACCCTACAAACGCAGATCTCTCTCCGGAACGCACATCCTAGCAATAGTTACCCCAGCAATGCAACCAAATTTGAACATGGCAACTCGCCGGCGTGCTCCCTTCTTGTCATCAACTTCAGTATTCTGTGGTCCTTTGAGCAATCCCGCAAAATGCTGCTCCCATGGCTTGCCCTGCTGGTCGCATCCACCACGGCCACCGACTACGACCACATAGACGTCAGTGAAGGCACAAGCGGCTTAGTAGCCGCCAACCGACCATCAGAGAAACCGTTCGTCTTGGCCCTGGTCATTGAAGCCGGGCCCTAGGTGCTACATAATGAGTACGTAACAGACATCAGCCTGCTCCGGTACCAGTCCCCTTGACTGGACATACGAGACAATTCCGCAGGCATTCGGCAGGAACGTGCAGGCTATGCACGCGGGGAAATCATTAGGTGGAGCACAACGGTGCGTGATAATGACAACGACCAAATCCAGTGGCCGGCTCAGAAGTACGATACACGGGTGTAAAGAAGGAAGAAGCTAAAGGCTCTCTAGGAGCCGTCTATGCTCGGGCTGAAAGTGTGTAGATATATGCCTAGCAGAAGATTGGTAACGACGGTCGGTCCTGGGATGATCTCTTCCCTTATTACATGAAGCAGGAAGATGTGAGCTATCCGAATCACACACAGATCGAGGCTGGTACTACTATCGATCTCATGTATCATGGATTTCAGGGCCGCGTTGCAGGTTGGTTTACAGGATTTACGGAGGGGGTTGGATAATTAGAGGTCTGTTATTAATCCTACATCGGCGTCTATTGGGATTCTGGCGAATCCAGGTATCAATTCGGGGTCTATGCGGGATTTTGGTCTTCATCCGTCTACCACTGACGGGCAGAATGTGTGCAGTGGTGCGGCTCGTGCTTATTATTGGCCGTACTCGATGCGGCCGAATCTTTGCTTGAACACTCTTGCGAACAGAGTTATTTGGGACTCGGCGGCCCAGGGATCTGGATGATAAGATCACTGCGACAGCGATGGAGTGCGAAGGTCAGGACAACAAAAAGCAGGTGATTCGAGCCAAAAGAGAAATTATCCTCGCGGCTAGTGCGCTCCGTTGTTCCGCTATCCTTGAGCATTCTAGTGCTAGCAATCCCCAGTGAGTGACCCGACGTCTCCTAGTTGGATGTGAATTCACCATTTTCTACAGTATCCTGAACAAACTCGGCATTCCAGTCCATCTCGACCTCCCCAGCGTGGGCGAGAACCTCTAAAATCAACTGAACACATCGCAGGTTATAACATTGAACAACCAAAACATGACAGGGACTAGGATCATAATGTTCGTGTCAGCATCAGACATTTTCGGACCATCGACTGAGTCTGTCGTCGCATCAGTGCGATCGCGACTGGCCGAATACACCGAACTGTCTGCCAATCAGAGCAACGGCGCGATGAAGGCAGGAGATCTCCGCAAATTGTTTGAGGTCCAGTACGATTTGATCTTCAACCACAATATTTCCATGACAGAGTTTGTATTCATATTCCAGGGAACTCGAACACTCCATACCGGATATTAGAGTCTTCTCCCGTTCGCTCGGGGAAATGTTCACATCGTCTTGACTGATACCCGTGTGCTACCTCCGGTAAACCCGAATTTCGGGATTTTGGAGTGGGATGTGCAAGTCCAGATTGCCATGTCGAAGTTCCTTCAGAGGGGGTACCGGACTAGACCCCTGAAGGAGGTGTTTGCCAATGAGGCACTTCCAGGGCTGGAAGCTGTTCCGCCGAGTGCGTCTGATGAAATATGAAGGGGCTGGATAGCTGAGCAATGTATGTCTTTGGATATTTTTGAACCTACTTCAATTTCTGTTGTACGGGTGGACTAATTGAGAGTGTACAGATACGCCAAATTACCACGCTGTTTGAACAGCGTCCATGCTGCCGCGTTCAATAGCGGACGTGGGCGATATCCAACTAAAAGCCCACAGAACGGCCAATGTCAGAGCTGTCGATGCGAGTATTCAGCCAATGCAACTCAGCGGCCATCCAACGGGCAATTTGTATGCGGTTGCCGAAAGAGTGGCGGATTTTATCAAGACGTACCAGGCTCGTGTGTAAGTCTTAGCGTCTGTTATGTCACGTTAGTTTCAATAGAAGCGTGTTCTAGCTATGTTGTCAGTGTCGCGATGCTTTTACTAGTCAAATTCATCGTCGTGTCCTGCGTGAGGTGATTTAGATTATTTGTGGAATACTGGCAGCTCCTGTGGTTCGGGTTTGAAATGAAGGCACTAAGAAATATATATCTGTGCGCAGGACCTGGAGTAATCCAGGGCCTCTATCCAAATGAGACGAGTCATGATCTGGATTTCTGCTGCCTCTAGAAAAAAATGTATATTCATAGTTCTCTTTATGTAAACAAATTTCCAAATGTAGTAAGTCGCAGACGTTGGATCCATCCGTGGATTGAACACGATCGACCGCCCTATTTCGAGTTATTCCGATTAGGTTTGCCGATCAATGACAACCACAGCTCCTTTCAAATCAAGTAGGCACGGTGCGAGACCTCGGCTTATGTGGTATGTACATTGCTACTGTAAAGGTGTATGATTACAAGTTAGATATAGTATACGCTACTGAGTCAATGCGAATGGGGAACAGTTACAATACGGGGCTAAGAAGTATTCTCGTATCAAAACGGTCTTAATGCATAAATCTATAATACATTGGATATGCGACTGTACAGTGGCTCAAATCGTAACTCAAGTTTTAAATCCGTGATTCCCAGCGTTATAACCCATCCACCCCTTGGCGAAGACAGGTATGAAGAACTCACCCGATTGCACCACAAGGTGGCTGAAATCGGGCGGGCAAAGTGACAGAGTCGTCGTGTGTGTTGATCCCTCGACTGTCCATAGGTGCAACAGCGAAATTGACGTCCATATTTCAGGCTCCGAAAAATAATCGCGATGCGGGTCATGTGAGTTTAAAGGAATAGGTTGATAAGTGATATAGTGAGAGGACGGGAAGTCGTGTGTTCTCACGGAAGAAATCGGCGTGAACCGGACAGTGGAATTGGCGTGGGAAGTGGAGTTCTTGAGAGATCGGCCGTTTGAATTAATATAGTAATATCAAACCACCGGGGTTCGATCATGCGTTGCTGGCCAATTACGCGTTGTTGGCGCAAGTGAAGCTGCCGTGGGAGCTATCGTTATGGATCGCCACACCGGAGACCCAGAGACCGAGGCCACAGATCATCACACCGAAGATAAACAAGCACACGTTGCAGAAAGTCAGGAAGATCTGCTTCGGCGAGGAGAAGTATTCACCCCACGAGATGTACAACCAGAAGACACCGGGAAGACCGAATGTGAACCAACTGACGAAGAGAGCGCTGACCAGGCCCAAGAGGTTACTGAACACGGGGATTGCTTCAGCGATCACCCATGCAATGACCCAGAAGACCACGGCCAGACCAATCCAGACACCGATACTGCGCATGCTTCGCTTGTGTATCAACTCGGATCCACGAAGCAGACGCACGTAGACGTTCTTGATGGCCACGTGACCTAGAACGACACCGGCAATGACAATTGTTGGGATGGCAACTCCATAGGCAACTTTCCGTACCACGGGACCGGCAGAGCCAAGAGCGGGAGAGGCGACGTTGTCACCCGCGTACCGGTAGATTACTGCCGATGCGACCGTGTACAAAATGATTTCGAAGCCCTGCAACATACAAAGGGACTTGGGGAAGTCCTTAGGGTTCTTCATCTCGGCGATGAAGCCGAAGAAGGCGGGATGACCACAGTAGGCGAAGACAATGTTGGTTACCGCGGTGAACCCAGTCATGAAGTTAACCTTGCGGGTAAGGTGCATCTCCCCGTATCCGGGGCGCTCCACACCGACACCGATCATGGTGATCACAACGGCCGTAAAGATACTCAGGAAGGCTATAGTTTGTTGGTCAGCTGGTTGGTCATATAGATGTTGGGAGTTGGGGCTTCTTACAGGTTACGGCAAGCCAGGAAACGTTCTTCATGGTTCGGGGCAGCGAGAAGGCGAGCGAGAGAATTAAACCGACAACACCGAAGACGATAGAGCATGTGCCGTGGTCGGTCAAAGTGTTCATCATGACAGTGAAGGTCAATAGATGGCTACCGCAGGCGAACAGGAAGAACAGCAGCTGTCCAACTTCAATAATGCCGCGGCCGATGGGTCCCATGAGGATAAAGCCTGCGTCGGCCATGCTGTGAACGAAGGGATATCTTTGACGGAATTGTCCGATGACATAGCCAGAATATGTGGTGACGATACCGAGACCGACGATTAGGATGATGGCCCTAGTCGATGGATGTTAGCAATTGTTGGATATCATCGGGGGAACGGTGAGCTGCTTACGGGATCAGAC